TGGCCAACACTGATGATTGTGCCCAACACAATCAGTGAGTAATAAGCTGAATCCACACAAACAAGTTTTAACGAAACAATGAGAAAGATTTAAATGGCCTAATAAACCTTTTTTTAATGAATTAAATTAATTGGAATACAGAGAACTTAGGATTAACTAACCAAACCAATTGTAGATTGTTGAGAGATCATGAGACAACAGACCTCTAGAGGCATGTTTGTTTGCACGTTGGAAGACCCAAACGCAAATGACCAAGATATAAACAGTCATTTTTTAGCTCTCATATCAACAATAAAATATCTCTGGGTTAAGATTTATTTTATTAATACTGTAAAAAATATGTGAATAAAAGTGATCAAAAGAGAGAAATTCAAGAGACTTATATCCATAAATATATATATATATATATATATATTTTGGTATCGTTTTCGTCATAGTAAAGCATAATCTGCTCCAAAACTTTGTGATCGAACATGAAGCACCGCAAAGTCAACAATATAATTATAATATATATAGCTTCTCCAATGTTGATAAAAGAGATATCAATAACTGAACAATTAATAAAAAGACACAATATCAAACAATATTGTTATTCCGCAGCCTATAGGATTTGGTTTAAAGGCATAATACATATCCAAGATGGATCATATTATGCCTTTAATTTATTGACAAACGAGTTTCATGAAAAGTCAATACCCGGGCCAAATTCATCAGCGTGTATCAATCATTTCGTTAAAAAGGAGCAGAAACATCATAATAATAATCATATAACAAAGTTTGTCCAACAATTGAGGAACTTATGAGTCATTAGCTTCAAGTGGCAGAGCTTGAACAGAGGATGCAGATATTGATGGCCTCAATGGCAAACTTGGGATGGCGATTCCTTCTGTGTTATACAACTCCACTGCTACTTCACCTACAAATTGTGCACATGATTAATAATATCAACAAAACAATCACAAAACATTGTACTCAGAAGAAGCAGTTAATAATAAATCATAATTAGGAATCGCAAGAATTACCAGAAGGACCAGCTTCACTAATGAAACTAGAAGCTCTTTGGGGAGGAAACTCTGATTCCAAAATGATGTTTTTTGCTGCCTTGTAACAATTTCTTTTGTTCTTCTTCAACTATTTTGTCCTCTAGTCTCCTATGACTTGCTCATTTTCATCTTTAGTTGTTGTCTCGGTCACTTCATCAACTTAAAAAGTCCATTGAAATAAATTAATGTAAACATGATTTGAGATTGTAAGAAATTAAAGGCTTAAGGCGTTGCAAAAGTATGTGAGCGTGTAACATGTGTTGTGAGTTGTTTAACTTGTTTGTTCCATAAAAAATCATATATAATTAGTTAATTATTGAAATTAGCATAAAGGTTAGGAATTCATAAATACATGAAAGACAAAGCATGCACCTGCTAGTAGCTGTGGGACAAATTTTGGACAGTTCACTAATTCATGGGATCTGTCATATTGGAATTGAAACCCTTTGTTAACTTCAATGAGATTTGGTAGATCTATCAAATATAGACGAAAGAGCTGTGGAAGCAAGGCCTGCCTATCATCAATTACTTCCTTCGTGCTCTGACTGTCTTCAGCTCTATCATCTTTTGTAACATATTGCATACCTTCACATCTCTGAATTCTCAAATTCCACAATGATGTTGAGGATTTAGTTGTGGGTAGTGTGAACAACCATTTCAACTTTGGACAATCGCTTACAATCAGCCAAGAAAGATGGCACAAATTTGATGTCTTTGTTGCAACCATATTCATCTATAGATAAGCAATTTTAAATCTTTACCGCTTTCAAAAACTTAAGATCTTACCTGTTTTGCTTCATCTCATTATTTACTACTCTTTTATTTTCTTAGAAGACTATAGTTTACTTTCTAATCTTTTAAAGTATTTTTCATAAAATAGTATTAAAATTAGTGAACCAAAAAATTAAAAAAAAAGCAACAATAAAATATAAAAGGTGATTATATTTACCTATGTTTTGGGAGCTATGTAGAGGTAAAGCAGAAGAATTTGAAGTGGTTTCCAAATGGCAATAAGATTCCTCTTCCTCAATGATTTGCTCTAACTCACCACATTTTTCTTTGGATATGCTCCACAAACATGGTAGGCTTCTCACAATACTTCCTGTGAAAATGCTTTTTAATTCTTTACATCCATTGATTTCTGGACGCTCAAGCCTTTGGAGACTGATACATTGCATGGGACCCTAATTCTATATATATCTCAACTTAGGAAGCTTATATAAATACAATTCTCTTAAGATTGATAACAATGGTGTTGGCTCTTCTTCATTGAGGGCAAGTCTTTGTAGTTGAAACAAATATTCTATCTCCTGACAATCTTCAACCGTAATTTCGTCCAGAGTTTGCAAAAGAGTAGATTCATAACTCATTTGGGTGTTTTGAGTGACAAGTGAAAGTGATCCCAATTCCTATCAAAAGATGCAAATGATCATAAAGAAAATTCTTTGTAAAAAGTTTAAAAAGAATTATATCATTCAAGTAGTATTTGTTCAATTATTACTTGAATGTGAAATTTAAACCTATGACAACATTAACAGATTAAAACAATAATGTGTTTTATTCCTTGTTGTTTTACCTGAACTTAAAATAATATGAAATTCACTTATATATTACAAAACCATTATTTTCATCTCAATCCTCTAGAAGAATAAGTCCTAATATATATATATATATATATGAACTAAACAAAGAAAATAAGCATACAGTGATGGACCTAGAAAAAATAAATTAATGGGGCCATAATTTATATTTAAAATAAACTTTCATATTTTTTATAAATTTTTTAAATATTTATAAAATTATATTAAGAACATACATAATAAAATTAAATAAAAATATATATATAATATAAAATTATAATAAAATAAAAATTATCTTTCAATGAGATTTTTTTTTAGTCATGAGGTCATACAAATTTATATAGGATAAATGTATTTTTGTAAGGGGGTACGTGAACTTTTTTAAAACGATGGGGTTAAATGAAATTTTTCGTAGGTCAGTCAATGTGACCATGTGTATATAGATAAATATAATATTAAAATTAAATGCATTAGTTACCTGTAATTTACCAAAGTAATTGAAGGATATGAATATCCACTTTAACAGTTAATGTTTAAATAATGAAATAGTTAAGACATGCAGACAAGATAAACTTTCTGACTAAACAAATAACCAAAAAAAAAAACATCGACATTTTATTTTAATGTGTCATTGGATTAAAAAAAATTATTCAAAATAATTAATAATATTGAAAACGGTATATATGCATCTTATTATAAATATGTAATATGACTAAAAAACATGAAAAAAAGATATTGCAGCTTCCTAAACAAGAAATTATTTTAATTTCTCGATATATAAAATGAAGATTTTAATCATGGAGAAAAAATGATTCAGATATGGAGCAATACCTGTAAAGAAGCACGATCAACAACTTGATCACTTAATGACTTTATGTTTAACCTTAAGTAGCCAGCCAACTCTAAGGCGTTCAAAGAATAGCATCTTGAATAATAATTCTCTGAGAAAATGCTAACTAGATTTGGCAAGCCTTGAAGCCATAGCTCTTCTAGATTGTGAAGCTCCATGCACTGAAACTCATCAAGGTTATGATCACACCGTTCTACATTAGATTGAATGAACAAATATTTCATCATGGGAGCATCAACTATACTCAAACATTCCAAGTTCTCAACAAAGCCCCAAGCTTGTAGAGTTGCAGTTAAGTATTTTATTTCTCTACAATTAGAAACAGAGAGTCGTTTCAATTTCGAAAACACAAAATTAGACATCTCTTGATTGTGCTTCATCCTTTCACAGTCAATTACTTCAAGCTCTTCTAACATCACTAGACTTCTAGCAAAGGCAACTGTGAAGACATGAGTCAACAATGGGCAGTTGTATAATTTGAAAACCTTGAGATTGCACATATTTAGCATCTGATATGCTTTCAGACTATGCCACTTGTAAAAGCTTTCAAACTCCCCATATTGTAAATTTCTAACTAAATCAATTTTGACAAGACATTTTGAATATGAACAATCCCTTCATCTGCAATGTCAGTAAAGAATTCCAGGTCTTGAGAACTACGAAGAATCAACTTAGTCAAATATTCCATTCCCCCTATTCTTTGAAACATCCTAGGAACAGCATTCTTTGCCCCTCTATGAATTTCATCCAACCAAAGACTCTACTCTTTGCACTAGATCCCTTATCATTTCATTTGTGGTGGAGGCATCAAAATGTTGAACGCCTATACTTCTAATGGATCTCCAGAAATTATCACCAACCTGCCAAGGAAATTTTCCAATTTCTACGCTATACCTCTACAAGTTTGTAGCATCAACGTTTGTGCTAAAAATATCAAAAGCATGTTCTTGCTCATCAATCCATGGGCCTTTATTTTCAATAAAATACAATTCCTCCAATTTCATGCATCTTCCCATCACTTTATAAGGATTGCCTTCGATGTCACATTAATGCACATCCAACAATTTGAAGCTTTCCAGTTCAGATATTTTATTTGGTAAGCAATTAAAAGAGCAATTCACTAATGTAAGACTTTGAAGTTTCTTCAAACTCCCTACACAAGTTATGTCACTTATTTCCGATATTTCCAAGCATAAATAATGGAGATTAGTTGGAAAATTGAGGAATGAAATGTGTCCTGTAAGTTCCAAGTCCCAAAGATGTCTTATTCCTTTAAGAACCAAAACTCTTAGCTCTAGCAGTTCTCCAAAACACTCTATTTGGGAGAACATATGACCACTCTACCCATTCAAAACCCCAGCTGGCATTTAAGAAAACAAGGTTGGAAAAATGTAATTGAGATGGAAATGATTTCACTTCATCCAACTATAAATATCTTATTCTATTATCTTCTGCACTCCCTTCCACTTTCATTATTTCTTCACTCCTTTAGGGATTTTCTATTTCCTTATTCTCTTCCTTGGCAATCTATAAGGCTACAACACGGACCAAGTAATGCATCTTCACACAATTCCCATTATCTACTCTCATCAATAAGCAAGAATCAATGACCTTTTCTTTAGAAATATGAAATGGTTTCCTTGCTCTTCTAAACGAATTCAGGCTCTTGAAAAAGCCTAACCCAATCCCATATCTTGCTAAATGTTCTTCATAAATTTCAGAATCTTCTGGAAATACAGCACACAGCAAAAAAACCAACTTGGCATATTCATCATTTAAGTTTTGATAACTTAACATCAAGCACTTGTATGGATCTCGAAGACCTTCTATGATATTCATCCAATCAGAATCTCTTAATGTTTTTAAAGCTTCTTCCAATTCAATAATACCTTTATCCTTCAAAGTGCAGGCGACTTTTGCTATTGCAATAGCCAATCCTTTGCACTTGTATGTGATTTGCTTTGCTAAATCTCTCATTCTTTCAAGGGTTAGATTAGTAATCTTGGCATGATATTGGAACAATCTCCATGCCTCTTCTTCATTCAATAGATGCAAGTTAACAGACCTTTAGCAATCCATTAATGCGCAAATATCTTTACGCTATGTAGTTATTAAAACTTTGCATCTCTTGAAATTGGAACCAAAGGGAATTCTGATGGCTAAATCAAGCTTCTTCCACACATCATCCAAAATTATTAAAATATTTCCTACATTGTCTAGTTTTGACGACAACCTTTTGGCTTTTGCTTGGTTGTCATGTCCTTCAAGGGTGACACCTAGTTGACTTGCAAGAGAATCTTGAAACATCAACAGAACTAGATATAACAACAAAGACAATTCTATTGAAAAGATCCTTTGTCGCTTTACTGACTTGTTTTGCTAAGGTGGTTTTGCCACAACCACCCATTCCATACAATCCAATCATTGAAACATCATCATCTTTCAATGCCTTCAGAAGTTCTCCATATGATGATTTGGTGCTATCAAACAAGAAAAACCCTTCTGAAGAATAATAAGCTATGTCTAGTGGGTAGCAGCAGGGTGTGCAAATTGCTCAAATCTGCATTTGTGTCCTTGATAAGCTATTTCCTTTGTCTTATTTTCTATCTGCTTGCCTAGATGACATCTCCAAATCTAATTGGGACAATGCCCAAAGCACCAACTCTTGTTTGCCTTGGCCTTCTCTTCCAACAACACTGCATCAACTACAAGAGTGTTTGCCTCATCCAACCACTTCGTAACAAGAATATCAATCTTTTGAGCTTCTTGTTTGGCTTTTGTGACATGATCATGTATGCTTTCTCTCTGTGCTAGAAGAATCTCTTTTCCTTTGACAAGATCTTCAACATATCTTTTGAATCAAAATAGATAATTTGCTTAGTGAATCGATTCATTGATAAAGTTCTTCACAATCTCTAATATAACAGAGGTGCATATCTCCATAGTAGTGAGAGGTAACTTTTTATCCTAAATATAACATAAATAAATGGATAAATAAATAAGAAACATTTACGAGCATACCTACTGTTGATACCTAACAAATTTAGCCATTCAATGAAATATATGAAGAGAGCCTAACTTATGTAAATTCTTATGAACTCAATGCCTAATGATACTAAGTAATATATAGTACAAAAATAATTTTTTTTGTAAATGAACTTTAGAAGAATTTGAAAGGGAAAAATTTCAAATGAGTCCAATATAACAAAATTATCTATAGGGTGGTCCCTTAAATTTGTAAAAGTACTCTCAAGTTCTATGGGATTTGGTTACATTTAATTTACTATGTAAACACAAATGCTCTTAGATTCACATCCTTTTATTAGTGTTAATCGTTGTTGACAGACCTCCAGCAGATGTTGACTGGTCAAAAATATTTTTAAGAATATTTTTATTAAAATATTAATACTTTATTTTTTGCAAGTCAAACATCATAGAATAACAAGTAAATGCTGAAGATTTATAAGTAAAATTTATTACATTTACAAGTAAACCTCTTGCAATATTGAAATATTAATATTTACAAATTAAATTTTGCAGATTTACAAGTTAGACTTCTTAAATTTAAAAGTATCTCTTGAAAAAAATTAGAACTTTAATATTTATAATTCAATCTCTTATATTTATAAGTCAACCTCCTATATTTACAATTGAGTTTATATAAATTTTGCATTGGTTCTTCAAATTTTAGAAATTGATTTACGAAATTTTCAAATCATTTTATTAAATTTACAAATAAACTAAGCATTTTACCTTATTAAGTTATAAGTTCTTAGGTTTGACTTATAAATATAAAATTTGACTTGTAAATCAATTTATAAATTTGAATAACCATTGCAAAAATTATGTAAATTCACCTTTAAATCTGCCATGTTGATTTTAAATTTATAATATTGACTTGTTAAGGTTAAAGTATTTGTTTATAAATTTGAAAATAAATTTAAGATGTCTAAATTATAAGTCTGTGAAGTTCAGCATGTAAACTTATGAAGTTGGCTATTATGTATTAACTTATTAATATTAAAAGAAGTTGACTAGTAAATTCAAAAAGTTTGAGCTGTGAATCTTAAGATTTGCTTGTAAATCTGTGATGTTTGATTTAATAAAATATGAATAATTGAATAAAAATATTTTTTTGAAAAATAATTTAAAATGTGAATTTATTTTAAATTTAATAAAAATGTGATCCTTGTGACCTACCAATGGCTGTTGACCAAAGTAGTGTGATCCAAGAGCATCTGTGTCATTTTACATGATAAGTTAATTACAAACGAATCCCGTGGGGCTTGAGAGTGTTTTCAAAAATTCACAAGACAATAAATCTCTTGCATAGGACCCATTTCTAATTTTCCATTAAAAGACAGAAGAAAGTTTAAAAATGCTTTATTTATGTAAGAAGCATCAATATTAAACATGTGAAGGTAATGGTCGTCACATGTGAGGCCATATTTTTTAACCCAAAAAAAAAATATTTGCCTAATTTCTGTATGACTTAGTGAAACTAATGAAAATATAATCCAAAAATTAAGATAGTGACAAATTTTAATTACTTTAAGATGCCAAAAGTCGGGAGCAAAATAATTTGGAAAATTTAATTCCAACATCCTTATAGTTTTTCTAAATCTTTTATTAGGTTCCTATAATTTACTTTGTTTGACTTAAGCCCTTGTAGTGTGAAATGTTAATGCTAAACTCTAAAGGTTAAAATTATTAATAAAATATTAATTTTTCATAAATAAAAAATTTTAAAGTTTATATAAAATTTAATTTAATATTTTTGAAAAAAAAGAAACAGACTGATTTAATAGTTGTAAAATTGATTTAATAAAGGAGAAATGTTGGGATTTGTGACTTTTTTATTACCTGTTTTAAAAAAAATTATTTAAAAACATGTTCGAAAATATGTTTACTATTATTTGTTTTGAAAAACAAAAAATATAAAAGTTGTTCTGAAAAACTGAGAAATCACAACTTTTTTTTTTAACGTTTTGTCACTTTGTGTGCTGCCAATTAAATTAAGATAAGAGAAAAGATAGAAAATATCATGTTTTCATTTATAACTATTAGTAAAGTACTCGTACAATATATGAATTTTATACTACAATTTTTATAAATAAGTTCAAAAAATAACTTGTAAAAGATATTTTATCCATTTATATCATCATATATGCAGTGGAGCAGTATAATTGTCGCACCCGAAAATGCGACGCAGATGGCGTAAGAGCAGATGTTCCGGCCTTCGGAAGGAAGACCAGAGAAATGGGAGTCACCACCAAGATTTTCAGAAAAATCTTGAAAAACCATTTAAAGAAGGATAAGGGTGGTCTGTAAAAATAAAAAATAGGTTCAGGAGTCGATTGAGTGTGGGGAAGGTGTTAGGCACCCCACAACACCCGTTTGTGAGAACGGTTACTTGAAGTTTGTTGTGCTATATTAATATAGTTTAAAATTATTTTAATTATCCCTTTTATATTCATGTGTTTGATATGAAAATAATAAGAATTAAGCGAGAAATATTTATTTATTTACGAGGAAGGACTTGACTTAGAATTCTACTCTGAGGCCTACGTACACTGCGGTGAGGATCAAAGTCCACGTAGTTCGGACTTAAAAAGTTTGTTGGTGAAAATATTTTTTTAAGAGAAATTAATTAGAAATAATTCACCATTTTACAAATAAAATAATTTCTAAAATTTTTGATATGTGTGTTTTAAATTGTAAAAAGTAATTTAATTTTAATTATTTTCTTAATTTTTAAATTTTTGGAAAAAAAGGATTTAAAATTATTTTTTTATATTTTATGATTGGGAATTTAATCACAGTTCAGTAGAGTTTTATTGGCTCATACGATAATGTAATCATTCTAAATACCTACGAAGATTTCAAAATCCCTCACAATAAAAAAATTAAATTTATTTATATGTTAGTAATAATTTATTCAAGCATGCATATATATATTTAAAGAATTTTAATCATCATGCCTGTAAAGCCTTATCGACTTTTATGGTAATATAATTATCCTAAATATCCGTGAAGATTCAAAATCCTCACACCATAAATGATTAAATATTGTATATTTTAAATATATTTTAATACATAATTGTATAATTCATATTTAAATACAGAAATCTTAATCGTTATACTTGCGAAGCCTTATTGACTCTCACGGTAGTACGATTATCCTAAAGGTCTACAGATATTCAAAAAAAATCTCATATGACCAAAAGATTTAATTAGACAACATGATTATAATTTAAATTTATTAATTTAATTAATTAAAATCATAAAAACATTTATTATTTTATTTACAAAATTCATTTATTTATTTACCATATAAATTGTGAATTACGATATCTGTGAGGATTTATTGTCCTACACAATAACGTGATTAATTTAAGTCTCTACGAAGATTCTTGAAATCTCACATGAGACTTAAATATTTATTATGAGATTGATTCTCATACCTGTGAAATCTTATTGATTTACACAATATGAGATCATTTTAAATTTAAATGCTTGCGAAGACTCTTGAAATCTCACACTACAAATAAACCATAAGTATATATATATACGTATATATATATCTCTATCTTTCTTTTTCATTTTATAAGAAAATCATGACAGCATATGGGAATATAAAGCACCATGATGTATATGTATGTTATTAGCCACGATTATCGGTATGCATGAATAAACTACTACAAATGAACAATGATTAATGTACAGCATGTCACCTCAACCATGTCACCTCACGTTGTATTACTCTAAATCATGGTAATTAAAAAGTTTGAAAGGTAATTCAAGAATCAACCATGCAAAATTAAATGTACCTTAGACATGTTGGATATCTTATAATACCACTTTTTGATGGCACGCATCCTTCCAAGCTCAGAGTCCTTCCCAATTCAACAAGTGTAGTCTTCAAAATGGTATACTGGTCAAGAGTGCTCCTAATCTCATGGGTCAACATTCTAACATGCCTTCCAGATTCTTTTTGTGTAAGGGTAAGTCCCATCTCCCTGTCGAGCTCCTCAACCTTGTTCTTGAGAATCAGCTCATGAGTTTTCGCACTCAACAGATCAGGAATAATATGGACAACCATTAGTGTAGTTAATAAAATAGAATAAACTTAAGCACTCGTGGTCCTCATCCGTCTGTGAAAACCGTGAGTCCGTGCCAGTGATTTTCATGATCTGTTCCTCTTGGTCATACAAAGAGCAGCTTTGCCTACCCTAACAACAAGCCTGTGTCTGGAAGAACTAGTGAGGAATGTGAAGGAAGTTCAAGAACCTCAAGTACTTATGTCTCCACGGGTTACCGAAGGAGACATCGTTAATGCCATTGATGAAGAAGCCATTTCGTGATCTCCTCATTTGTTCTCTTCTCTTCTTCTCGGTCTCTTCTTCTTTTCTGCTCTGATCTCTACTCTCGATTTCTGTTATTCTTTCTCTCTCGTTCATGCTCTATTTTTTCTTCCATTTTTTCTTCATCTGGTTTCTGTCTTCTCTTCCAGTTTTCTCTGTCTTTGTTTCTCCAGAAAAAAAACTCTCCCTCAAATCTCCGTCTCCTCTCTCCCTCAATCTCTATTTTTTGCTTCTGATCTCTATCTCTTCTCTCTCTTCAGCGTTTCCTTCGTCCTTTATTTTTCTCTGTTTTTTGCTCATCTCTCACTCTCCATCTCCTTCTCATTCTCCATCCTTTTCTTCTCTTTTTCTTTTGTCTCTGTTTTCTCATCCGGTTTTTATGCACTCGATCTCTCTCCTTAGTTCTTCACTTGTTCTCCGTCTCTCCCTCCTCCAGTCTTCCTCCTCTCTTCTCTTTGTCGGTTTTCCTTCCCAGCTCCTCCCTTCCTTCAGTTCTCCATCCCTTTGAAAGTAGAAACAGGGAAGCTTACGTGTGAGGAGAGGGTCTACGTGCTTTCTCACTCTGCTCTGCTGTGTATTTGCGTCTAAATTTTCTTATGCATTTTTGCTTTGATCCCTGTCTGCTCTGTCTCGCATGTGTGTGTTCTCTGTGTCTGTCCGGTCTCACGTGTGTGTGTTCTCTTTTGTCTGTGTACTGTGCTTCACCAAGTATTTCCCTGCCCCTTAAGCTGTGATTTTCATCCAGTCTATTTTTATGCTTTTAATTAATAATTTTTATTAATACATATACATATATATATATATATTAAAATGAAAATAAGATTTAAAGAGAGAAAAATTAACTCTCAAAAATTGACTTTCAATATTTTAAATGATTGGGATAATTTGAGAGAGATTTTGAAAGATTTAAACAAGATTTTTTTTATTTTGTTAAAATATAATCCTAAAAAGGATTAAATTTTATTTTTATATTTTTGATTATTTATTATTAAATTTGAAAAAATGTCTGAACAAAATACGATGTTCACAATAATTATAATCATTAATATTATATATACATATTAAAGTAAAGTAAATGGTAAAAACTACATGCATATTGTGTAAATGGATATGATGGGAGGTAAATTAATAAAATTTCATAATTATGTAAATCAAATTATCGAAGACATCCTTGTAAATGACATTAAAATTATATCTATATAGTGACTATCCTCATCAAGAACTAATATGTTTAGACTCTCCATGCTTTGAACATGAGAAACAATAATATATAATTGGTCATTGGCGAAAATAGAATAAGTTATGTACAAACCAATATGACATAAGATCAAATCCTAGCTCTTATTAATGGGCACTGCAAAGACTAACATAATGAGAAATTGCTTCCTTCTCATAATAAATGACAACCTTAAATCAAATAGACACATAGCAATACCTGGTATACATACTTTCATCCTTGTAGTTGATCCAAACATTTATTGGACTTCAATAACATATTTTCTAGCTTGTGTAACTATAAGACGTGTACCATTGCACAACCCATAAACTTCTCAATGTTTCAGTTCGCATTAAAATTGGGGCACCCACTTTAAGCCTTATTTCATAATTTAGGAGGTTTGACATTGTAATTTAATTTAGAAAATGTGTGTAGAATGCAAGTCATTAAGTAAATTCATATCTCAAGCATGTTTAATAGCACTATCAAAGCTCATGTATACAACTTTCTCTTAGGAAGCAAGGATAACATGTATATGTTTACTTCTTCAGTTACAACCTACATAAGAGCTAATATAGCCTTATCTCTAAAATATGAGGAATTATATATATTGGCAAGGAAATTCAGGAAAGTTGAATTAACAATAGACTTTTACGATTACCTTAACCATCTTGTAACAAATCAACTAGAATCTTAATATCCATAAATCCTTCATTAGCTCTAGCAGTTGTTTCATCACCAATTGAGATAATCATATCAGCAAAATCCTAAAGAACACTAATAGATACTCCACTATTTATTTATAGAAGTCTCATGTTTATTGTTAGTGTCAAAAGTTGACAATTGTCTCAAAACAAAAAGTTAATGGTTACAAAAATAATATCTTCTCTTGACCCACCTAGAATAACAGGAAGGCTAAATTTGCCTTAGGTCTCCACCAAACATAGCAACTTTTCCTTCAAAGGAAGATCACCAACTAATAGGCTACTTAACTTTAGAATATCTTCTAAGCATGTATTAAGAGCTTTAAGACAAAACTTGTGTGTCATTAGAGCCTCATCTCATATGATCAATGATATATGAACAAATAATTCAGCCAAGTTGCTCCCATGTTTCATGCTATGTATAGTGTTTGCAGTCATAGAAAGAGGAATATAAAATTTGAGTGAGTCATATGTCCTCCTAATAAGCTATCCTGCTTGATGCTATATTGAAAACTATTTTACCTCTAGATCTTAATGAAGCAAAAAATGTCTTCCAAACATATGTCTTCCTAACACCACCATATCCATACATGAAAAAAAAACATCTTCATCAAATTCAATAGCATCATCATAAATCTTCTGTTTTTTTCCACAAAAGTTAATGTGTTCTACTTTTTTAATTATTATAATATATACATGGATAAAGATTCAAATTAAAATTGACAATCTTTTCTAATCATCCTATATTGAAATTTTAATTTATCTAGCTTAAAATTCAAAATTTAAACTTAAAGACTTTTTTTTATTAAGAACTTAAAGCCTTTTTTTTATTAACTACATTATATTGGCAATCCAAAATAGTTAAATATATTGACCAATATTATTAACTTATCCTACTCAAATTATAGCATTGACAAAATTTTAAATACTCCTCAAAGTTATGATTAATTTGGGAGAATTATTTTAACAAAGATATATTTTAGAGATAATTTCTTGTACATTCAATTGGTCGATATGTTTTTCACTTTTAACTTATTTTGATAACATATTTGAATTTCAAATCTCAATATTTACTAATTAAATAAAATGATTATTTAAGTAACAATATCATTAAATTAATTAATACTATTTTTAATAAGAAAATATAAATAACATTATTTAATTGGAAGATATGAGTATTTTTAGATTTCAAACTTTACACTAGAAACAATAAATATCTTAACCTTATGAGAATATTGAATTTTATAAAAGTTCATCAAATTCTAATATTTCACAATAATTTGAGTTTTAAAGATTTAAATATAGATGAAGAGGGATAAAAAATTATATTTTAGAAGATATACTATAATCATTGTCTTTTTGTTCTATTTACATAAATACTTAAAAATTAAATTCAAATATATTCACAAATTAACAATCAAACTTGATTTTCAAAGTACAAAATTATTGGAAGAATATCAAAATAAAATCTTACATTTATATAAATCAATCATCCAAAAAAGACTCGAGAATTTTACAAAATTAATTAAAGGGTTAAATGATAAATTTGCCTTTGAACTATAGGTCCAAAAGTATTTAATACTCTAAATTTATTTTTGATGCCATGGCCTCCTTCAATCTTTAAAAACAGTGTAATATTACTCCTATAGTTAATTAATAATAACTTTGATCATTAGTTTACTAAAAATTTATGAAAAAGAACCTTAAAAGTTATAGAAAAGAGACCAAGAAAATTTTTTTAGTCCTTTTGTGTATTTTTTGGTCCTTGTTTATATTTTTGAATCTTTTACAATAATTTCTTGTTCAACTAATATTCAAAATTAATTTTTATTAATGTTTAGAATGACATTGCCCTTTAACCCTTAATCAAATCTATAAGTGTGAAAAGAAAATAGTAGGCAACACCACTTATTTGTAATTGGTATAATATCTAAATGGGAGGAAAATTTGATTTAAATTTGATAATTTTACCTAAATTATATATCTTCATGGCTATCTAAAATATCCAAAATGTAAATATAATATTAAAATACTTTGATAGAAATGTATTTATAACTAAAACTATTAATATAATTTGAAATTAATTAGTTGCAATTTAACATATATTCAAAATTTAATTGAAATATTTTTTTATTTTGATATGAACCATAGAATTACATCCAAAAACTGTTATTGGTGACTTTAAAAAATTCATATAATATTGCATACATGAAATAAAAATATATAAATGAAAAAAATCCATTTATATAAATAATAAAAATAAATAAATTCAATTACTAAAAATATATCTTAATAAAATAATTTTTTTCCAAAATTTAATTTTAAAACAAAAATTCATGTTTAAAAATAAAATAAAACAAATTAAATTGAAAATCATGGTTAAAAAATAATTAAATTTAAAAATACTAAATTGTAATATCTAATACAAAATATATATATATATATATATAACATTTAAATTTTTAAAAAATCTTAGTTCATTAAAATTAATATTTATATTTAGATTGATTAGAATTATATAATATTTTATAAAAAATCCAAGTTTATATAATTTCTCTATCCATTTAAATTTATTAAAATAAATAGATTTACATATTTTATTATTTTATTTTTCAAACCGCACTAGTCAAAATATAACTAAAATTCAATTTTATAATTGTATGAAAATACAAAATAATTTAATTAATCCATTTGAAATTCTTTGATTTAAAATTCAAATAGATAAATATAATTAAAATAAAATAAAAAATAAATAAAAATATATGTCATCCCAAATCTAACTTCACACTCCAAACCTATCAAATAAATTTGTTTAAAA